TTTGTGGGTATAAGGGTATTTAGAATACAGTTAGAAATTATTGGTTTAGGAAATGGCAGGAGTAGGCACTCTAGGCTCCGTGACTTCTCCAGCCACAGGTGTTTAGCTAGGTTTACAGTACCAAGCATGAATTCCCTCCTATTGTAAAGGCCTTAAGTCCAATTAGACAGTTGGCTACCCCAAAATAAAAGTGTCACCGTTGCACTGTTAGGGATATCTTGCTGGGCTGGTCATTGTTGTGGTCCATAGGTTTACAGCTGAGTAGGACTTACTGCTTTTCTCCTTTGCAGCTTGTGAAGATACTATGGGAGCTAGTCCTCAGGGAGGCTTCTATATCAGTTCTAGCTCCATTCTAAGTCTTGTTCCCAAAGAGTGTGGTGTCTTCATCAATAGGATCTAACCCTCAAGTTCTGAGAGGCAACCAAAGGCAGTGGCAGAGCTTGTATTGTATTGTTTGAAGGGTGGTTTCCCAGGCCTAGCACTGAGATTTTCAAACTTCGTACTTGTTAGATAGCCTGTGGTCCTTGGTTTAATTTTTTTTTTTTAGACAAGGCCTCACTCTGTAACCCTAGCTGGCGTTGGATTTCATAGAGATTGGCCTGCCTCTAGTTCCTAAGTACTGGGATTAAAGGCATGTACTACCATACCTGGCCCAGCATTGTGAATTTTTAATGTAGTATCTGGGAGCTTGGAGAGAAACAGCTTTACTGGAAATGTGAAGAACATTTGAATTTGAGAAAACATGGGATTAATATTAAATGAATTAATATTAAATATCAATTATGGATGATAAAGTAGGAAGCCATTTTTAGCCAGAGCAGTCAGTTAAAATAGAATAAAAAGAAAATGCAGCAGTTCTCAATATGAAATTAATCTCTGAAGGTAGTTGCTAGCAATTTATGTGTAAATTAGAAAATGATATGCATGAAATAGCAGATTTGGAAGTTTTAAGAAGCTTCGTATGGGCTTGTGTTGGAACATGATGAGCTGAAAGAACGCCACTTCCAACCAAAGCTTGTTCATGGCCTGAGCCACAGACAGTCCGTTCCACAGTGATTTCTCAGCGGCTGAGGTCTTTGATCCAGGAGGCACTTAAACTTGTTTGGAGTGGTGCTTCATCAGCAGGTATTAAGTGATAGTAGGGTCCGGCGTTCTGGTGTGCTCTTACACAGTGAAGTGGCCAACAGTGACACTCTGCTGGCCCTTTCAGACAGCTACAAGAAAGAATTTTGAAAGTTTTCACCATAAGGAAAGATCAGTTTTTGAGGAGATAGGTAGGTTTTATTTTCTGTGGTGCATGCATCAGAGCGTCCTGTGAATGCCTTTATACATACATATACGTGTAACCTTTTTTCCTTTTTTTGGTCTTTTTCAGACAGGGTCTCCATGTAGCCCAGCTGACCTGGAACTCGATATGTAGACCAGGCTGGCTTTGAACTCACAGCAATCTGTCTGCCTCCCAGGTGCTGGAATTAAAGGCATGTGCCATCATGCCTGACATGTGTAACTTTTTTTTATGATTACTATTAATTTGTGTGTATTTGTTTGCACTGCAGCAGTGCAGATGAGTGGAGGTCAGAGGACAGCTTTCAGGGGTTGGGTCTGTCCTTTCACCGTGTGGATTCTGGGATTCGAACTCGAGTCCTCAGGCTGGGCAACAAGTACTTTTATCCACTGAGTCATCTTAAGACTGGGCAGAAGAAATAAATGAAGCAGAGTTCTTTTGAGCAAATTAAATCACAATATTTTCCAATTCAGTAAACAAGACATCACTAGTTCTAGGGGCTGGAGAGATGGCTCAGTGGTTAAGAGCACTGGCTGCTCTTGCAGAGGACTCAGGCTCAGTTCCCAGCACCCATGTGGCGGCTAACAACACTCTGTAACTCTAGTTCCATGGGATCCGGCTCCCTCTTCTGACCTCCTCAGGTACTGTACGACATGGATGCATTTAAATACACTCAGGGAATATACTCAGACACACAAAAAATTAAAAAACAAAACCAAAAAACCCCAAAACATCTCTAGTTCTTGGCTGTAGACTTGGATGAAGAAAGGAGAGTTTGTTCCTACTTAGAAGCATTCCAAGTTGTGATTTTTAATTACAACAGAACTGTGAATTTCTCTTCATTTTATAGTTCTTAGAATATATGCTTACTGGGGGGCTGGAGAGACGGTTAAGAGCACTGGCTGCTCTTGCAGAAGACCCGGGTTCAAATCCCATCACCCACATGGCAGCTAACAACCGCCTGTAACTCCAGTTCCAGGTGATCTGACGCCCTCTTCTGACCTCTGCCAGCATTGCATGACACAGGCCATACATTCATACACATAAAATAAAAATAAACAAAATATTAAAAGAATATATGCTTATTGTTTGACATGGCATTTCCTGGGAAACTAACCAGATTTGACATTGAGCACACGTGTCCTGGAGATTTTCATTTATATGAATGGTTTCATCTTATCAGGGTTAGAATCATGGCTTTGAAGAAGTCAAAAGGGTGGAATTTTCTAAACATGCCTGGTGAGGGTAAAGGAGACTCAGCTTGTGGTATTTAAAATAATATATTTTTTAAGTAGTCATGGGTGAGAATAAAGGAAAATTTTGTGTTGTGTCTATATAATGTATGTTTTTAAAGGGCAGAATTTTACTTTACTTAATATTCAGGGTTCTATGCTCTTATAAGATGGTTGTTATTGATCTATAGTTGGCAAAGTTTATCAGTGTATGGGTTTCTTCTAAAACTTTACAAATACTTTGGGCTGGAGACATGGCTCAGAGGCTAAGAGCATTGGCTGCTCTTGCAGAGGACCTGGGTTTGGTTCCCAGCACCCACATGGTAGCTAACAACCTTCTGTACCTCCAGTTCCAGGGACTCTGTTGCCCTTCTCTGACCCTTAGGCATTTCACAACACAGGTGTACTTACACAAGCAAAACACCCATACACAAAATAAATAAATTTAAATTTTTCTTTTTTTTTAATTTACAAATACTCGATTTCTGGTTTCTTTTTGGTCTTTTTGAGACAGGGTCTCCCTGTAGCCCCAGCTGCCCCGGAACTCACTATGTAGACCAGGCTGGCCTTGAACTCACAGAATCCTCCTGCCTCTGTTTCCTGAGTGCTGGGATTAAGGTGTGCGATAGCACGCCCGGCTCTCAAGCAGAAGTGTTCACTTCTTGCTAACCAAGTGAAGCCATCTTTGGTCTTTTGTCCTTTTGCTTCACAGATGGCTTCTGAATCTCTATACTGCATTATCTTCTTAAACTTCATTTCTCTTGCAACGTTTCTTTCTCTTGTTGACCCCCTTGCTTTGTTCCCAGTTGCTTATTGCCCACTCGTAGGCCCCCACACCTTCACTGGAACACAGCCCTCTCTAATGGACGGCTCTCTGTTGTCTTATTTCAGTACAGTTCCTCCTCTCTGGTTCTGGTAGCACCTAGCCCTCCTGTGTAAGCTCCTTCTCTGCTGGCCACACAAATGAGTTGTCCTCAGGTCCTCTGCTGAGTTCTCTTTTCCTCTCATGATACCGCTTCCCTTCGATTGTTTTCCCTTTACCATAAACAGCTGATTTCTGAGACTTGATTTGTGACTTCTGTGTTCATCAGTCTATTGGACATCTTCGTTAAAGGTGTGTGGTAGGTTGCAAGCAGTATGCTGAACCTACTTCAGGGTAGCTTCAAGCCAAGAGCCCATTGTCTCAGAAAAGCAGATTTGAACTCAGGTAAAACTCTAGGCCTCTCTCCTCTTGCCTCTGCCTGTCAGCATTCTTCTCTCAGAGCTGTCTTCTGTAGGAGGTGTCTATCGTGGTTGGAGGGGAGCCTTAAAGTCACCAGTTTAGCAGTTGGAAACCAAAAGTAAGTCCAGTCTTTGTCCAACACCAGGTGGAAATCACCTGACAAGGATTCTTTTTGATGCATCTTGGTTTGCCATGGTAGGATGTGAACTGTCATGACTGACTTCCCTGCTGGTGAATTGGTGGAGTGGGGACTTTGTGACTCCATTCACAAAAGTCAGACTCAATGTAGCTCCACCCAGCTTCTGTGTCCAATTCTAGTTTCAAAGGGTAGGTAATCATTTTAAGGGCTCTGATGTACTGTAGTGTGCTATCGGAGTTCATTGATTTATTAGTTACTGTGGGGTGCCTGAGAACAAAGGACTCAATTGAAGAAACTTGAAAATGGTGATCAGTATTCTTTTCTAGAACTTTTGCATGACAACTGTAATGCTCTAATTAGTGATTTGTAAAGAAAATAGACTTATTAAACGAACTCATACTTTTAATAGTTTGCAGAATAGAATATTACATGAAAGCGAGACTTTCTCTTTGTTTTCATTGTTAAAACCTTGACACCTGGGATAGGACAGATGGCTCAGCAGTTATGAGCACTGGCTGCTCTTGTAGAGGACTTGAGTTCAGTTTCCAGCACCCACATGGTGGCTAACAACAATCTGAAACTCCAGTTCCAGGGGATTCGACACCTGACCTCCAAGGGCTTTGCACAACTTGGGTGCACTTACACACATGCAGACAGTACACTTGTACACATTTTTTAAAAAATTTAAAAACTTGACACCTGACACTCATACTACCTCAAAAAGTAATTTGTTAAATGAATATTTATGAAAATCTTGATTTTCATTATTTGCTTTTGGGGGGGTAATAGTTACTCTTAATTTACTATGGATTTCTTTTTAACTTTAATGAAATTTTTTTTTAAATTTTATGTGTATACGTGTATTGCCTGCATGTAGGTAAGTGCACCCATGTCGTACAATGCGGGAGGAGGTCAGAAGAGGCTGTCAGATCCCCTGGGACTGGAGCGATGGACAGTTGTTAGCTGCCATGTGGGTGCTGGGATTCAAACCTGGGTCTTCTGCAAGAACAGCCAGTGTTCTTATCCACTGAGCCATCTCTCCAGCCCCAATTTACTATGGATTTCAAACAACAAAAGAGTCCAAGGATAAGTAAAGTTGACTTATTTTTTTTTTCTTCCTAGACTACCTGCTACAAGCTTTGGATCAGTAGAGCAGTTCTTTCCCTTCCTGCTGGTTTGGAGACAAGTCTTTGTAGAGTGAGAAGCAGAGAAAAGAAACAATCAAACCTTGTCTTTAATTGACTGTATAAGACATTTGCCTTCCAAGAACAAAAGCACAGTGAAATTAATGATTGTGACAGCTACTCATCATCCTGTGGATCAGAGTTGTGGAGCTTCCTGAATAGAGATTTGGAGTCTTCTCTGGTGCTCATCATACCTGGACAGAAGGCATGAGTGAATTCTGGTTGTGTTTCAACTGCTGTATTGCAGAGCAGCCTCAGCCTGTAAGTACGACATAGGGTTCGTGTGCATGGGGGTGCCTCAAGCATACTGCTGGATCTCAGAGAACTGGAACCCTAGTAGGGCAGTTTTATCATGGAGAATAATTCAGAGATGGGACTGTCAGAGAGAGAGACAGAGACAGAGACAGAGGGACAGAGAGAGAGGGAGGAGAGCACACCAGAGAGAGAGAGAGAGAGTGCCAGCCCACTGGGCCTGGTGGCACATACCTGTGATCCCAGCACTTGGAAAGTAGAGGCAGGAGGATTTCCGTAAATTCAAGGCCAACCTTGACCATAAAGCAAGTTTAGGACCACCCAGTGCTATATAGCAAGACACTGCCTCAAAACTCCCAACTGCCATATGTTAGGAGCTGTGCTGGGGTTCTGTATGTGAAGGTTGTGTTGTTAGGCTGCACATGCAGCTATCGCAGCTGTTGAACAGGAGAGAGAAAGGAGACCTGTTGTAAAAGAGCCAAGTCAGCCTGGGAATTTAGTGTTTGAAGATGTGGCAGCCAGATTCTTTTCAAGTTTCCAATTTATCGTTTTGTTTTTCTCACAGCAGCTCTCTGAGGAATGTACCATTATTGGTTTTTCATTGTTTTTGCCCATGGTTACATAGATGTTAAGTGGCCTTGGGTGCTTTCTTCATAGACACTATTTTTGTGCCTCCTAACCTTTATGCATTATAGGTCAGAAATCCTGTCTGTATACTTCCAAATTTTTGTTCATTTTTGCAGAGGTCTGTGTCAAATCCTTTCTGAAAGGTTGGGAATGTGGCTTAGTGGTAGATTGTCCTGTTTTGAGACAGGGTCCTGCTATGTAGCCCAGGCTGGCCTGGAAGTTGAAGTCCTCAGGAGGCAGGGTTCTAGGTATGTGCCACTACTCTGGGTGTACATTCTGCAGTGTTTAGGAGCCTGATCATGCTCAGGTGTGTCTTCAGGTTTTACCATGGAGAATGTGGGCATAATGCTGGCCGGTTGACTGGGTTTTTTATTTCAGTTTTGTAACAGTGTACAAGGGTGCTGAGGATTAAATTAAGGAACACAGTTGCACACATCCTACATAATTTTTCTTTTTAAAATGTTCTGTTAATTCACAAATTAATTTTTTTTTTTGGTGTTTTTGAGACAGGGTCTCCCTGTAGCCAAGCTGTCCTGGAACTCACTATGTAGACCAGGCTGGCCTTGAACTCCCAGAAATCCACCTGCCTCTGCCTCCCGTGTCCTGGGATTAAAGGCGTGCGCCACCACACCTGGCTCAAATTAATTTTTATAAAAATGTATCCAGTAAGCCAGCTCAAATTCATGTCATCAGGCTTGGTGATTGATATTTTTACCCCTGAGCCATCACTGCTCCTGAATGTTGACTTCTCACTTCATTTTTTTGTTATTTAATCTTTCTATCCTTCCAGAATCTTTCTAGTAAAATATCTTTTATTTATTCTTTGACAGTTCTGCACATGTAAATGGTGTATCTCAATCATGGCTTCCAGCTGACCCATCTTGTCTTGGGCTTATGCAGTAGCCACAGCTGCAGTGAGTGCATGAGTGCATGGCCATGCCATGTCCAGAAGACGGCGTTTCACACGCCCTCCCTATCTTCCAGCTCTTAACTCTTTTTGCCTCCTCTTCTGCCATATTCCTCAAGTGTGGTGGCGGGGGAGGGGGAGGGAGGAGGAGGTACTGGTGGTGGAGGTGGTGGTACAGATGTCCCACTGAGGGCTGAGCACTCACAGTCACTTACTCTCAGCATGTTGACCAGTTATGAGTCTGCAGTAACTGCTCCCCACTGCACAGACAAGGTTCTCTGGCCAAGGTTGAGGGCAGCAGTAATCTCCTTTGGGATCTTCTTTTCTTCATCTGAGACCTCAGCACCATGTTGAACAGTGCCCATGATGGTTGACGGGGCATTTTGCCTTGACTTCAATGGGACACCGTGGCCAGCTGATCATGCAGCCATGGTGTCTAACACTACTTTCCTGTTGCAGCACCGCAGCCTATGGTGGTTTCTGCTCAGGCAGGTGGACTCCAGCTGCTGCCTGTCTTGAAGACAGCCCCAGTGTTGGTGGTATAAAGAGTTGGGTTTCAGTTTGATGAGGTTTTTCCCATGTGGATGGTGTGGTGATCCCAAACTCTCAGCACTCAGACATGTTGTCTGCTCAGAAACTCACAGTGCCATAGTTTTTTCTTTTTTCATTATTTTTGTATGTATGGTCTGCATGGGTGTATGTATACATGTTTTGCGTATGTGTGGACACATACTTGTATGGGTGTGTGCACCTGCATGTAGGGGCCTGAGGTTGGTGTTGTGAACCATCCTCAGTGGCTTTTCCACCTTGGTCATTGAGGGAGAATCTCTGTCAAACCCAGAGCTTGCTCATAGGCTAGTCTCTCTAGAGGGCCCTCTTCTCTGCCTTCAGAGTGAGAATTACAGGCGGGCCACCACACCCACCCACCCACCCA